TTCTAAATGATAAAAAATTATTTTTGGTTATATTTTTCAATTGCTAAAATAAGGACTGATAGTATTTTGATTAGAGCCATGTTTCTCTTTCCTACTCAAATATTAACAGTGTCAAATCTTGTACACCTGAAAGTGCCTCAATTTTTATCAGTGCTTCACTGGTAAAGTTAATCTTTTAAAGGTTATTTGAGCACTGTAAGAAAAATTCTGCATTTCAGCTTTTATTTTAACTAATTTTTTTTGCACTAAACATTTTTAGTTATATGTACATTTTCTCACCCATATAATCAGAATGTTGTAAACTCATTGATTGCATTTGAGTCTAAACTGATAAAAGTTCATCACATTTTGGTCAATCTTCATTAATATTTTATTTCATATATGTGCACAGTCTTCATTTCTGTGCTGTTTCCCTCTGAAGTAAGGTGGGGATTAAATTGGAGAGTGGCATGTCCACGTAGGTGTGGCATGTGGAGGTTTATCTGTTTGCAAGTGTTAATGTCATCAGAGCATATGAGAAAAATTGTAATACTCATCACGATAATATAACATCTGGATATTGAATGAATATTACATTCACTAATAAAGTAGCTACTTTCAGGGAGTGAAGAACTGTCATTTAAACTGATGATGTCATGCAGTGGCAATGTTTCATTACAGCATATGTTGATGGGACAGATCCAGCTGTTCTGGTGCATTGCAAAAGCAGAAAGCTTTTCATTATTTTTTATAGTCTGATCCTGATACTCCATTAAATCAGTTTGTATAGTCTTAGACCATTAGCACCATTGTAACTTCCATTCAGTCAGTCAGTTTCTTTAGATGTGAAAAAATGTCTTGACTATAAAGCCAAGTATAAAATTAGGATAGATACAGGTAGATACTCATGCAGAGGTGGCTGCAGGAAAGAGTTTGATTCTGAAAGTTATTCATTTTCATGCACAGACTGTGTCACAAATTTGTGAACAGTCTCATAATCAGAACTGAATCAGCTGATAAAAAAAAATCACACAAACAATAACAAAAATACAATTTCCTTAGAAATAGAGATAGCATTTTCAAAGTTCATGATATAATTCTATTTAACTTGGATAGCTAGTCACAGGCTTAGTATTTAATTGTGTAATAACATTGGCATTACTTATCATTTGGATTATTTTTATGTTTTAATTACAGGTTTTCACCAACAGAAATCTGTAGTAGGCTGTGGAAGAGGTCTTCTGAATTTCCTCATATCATATTCTGACTAATAGTTAACATATTATATTAGACAGACTTCTTTAACTTACGTTTAAACCCTCAGCCCCTGTATTCTCAAAATGGCTTCTTGGGAGTCCTATGCCATCTTAAGATCACAAATGCTGCTTTCATATTAATGTGAAGGATCAGAGAATTTCTTGTACTTCTTTTATGTGAACTCTGAGCCATATATAATGGCAAACAGTTCACTTACTGCTTACATGCAATGGGAAATACAACAATATCAGGGAAACTTTTCTGGTAAAAGCAGACACTAAGATCCAGGAAGTACATCTAAGTCCCGCAGTTTAAAATTAACTTTTTGAACCCAGAATCCGTGACAAAGTACGTGCATGTTATCTGCGGCAAAATAGGACAAAGTATCCAATACCTCTCTGCAGACTAGAATTGCACTGTGTTATTCTGAAACCATCTTTAGTCTTCCTGAGAAAGATCTTGGCAGAAGGAGTGGCCAATCTTAAGTGTCACCCCCATCAACTTCAAATTGCTTCTCTCTCTGGAAAGTTCTGGCTTTTCAAGTCAGCTGCAGGTCTTGTCATTGTCATGAGAAGGGAGTAATGGCAAAGTGAAAAAATTCTCTTTGGAGAATTGTCTTATATATGAATCCAGTCCTAAAAGGCTGATTTCTTTGTGTGAAACATTCACATAAAACAATGTGAAGTTTCCAGCTATTAGTCATTTTGTCTCAAGTCTGAGCAACTTTCTCCTCAGGTACAGGCTTCTGAAGCTTTTTCTTCTCAAACACACCAAAGTGACAGGTTCCCTTTCCCCTGTTTCACTTGCAATTACAAATCCTACCGCCTTTCCTGTATAACAACAGTATTACTTTTAGGATCATGTACTCCTAGACATTGTTTTTTGGACTGTGTGATGGATGGCATAAGAGCCTGCATAAAGGAAAAAAGAAAAAAGATGAGAGGGCACAGAGATGGGACCCTTCAGGGCCCACCTGCAGGCAGGCCCAGGCACATGGTGAGGGATCAGCAAGTCAGACAACCCTTAGAGGTGACCAAAATACTTTCCACTGCCTAGAAGGGACAAGAAGAGATGGCTGCCCCTTGGGAAGCTGCTGTTAGCCACAGCCTGCCCACATGGAGGGACACACCTTGTTGATTAACCATTACCATCACAGTCCTTGTCACACTCATTACCTTTGATGAACTACAAATAATAAATTATGCTTGATAACTGTCTGTCCACATCCCTGGTTAGGGAGCTGCTATATCCCAAATGCTCTTTTATACAAGCAGTAGTTAGCCTGTAGTAACAGATGTAAGATAACAGATAGTATATCTTAGATTTTTTTTTTTTTCAGGACTGATTGCCAGTTCTTTTCAGCCACTAGCCTGTTCAGCAGGCTTCAGAGAATAAATCCTTATCATTGGATCTTGTGGAGTCTCCACCAATTTTTGGCCAAATTTCCATTTCCATCCTCCTCTGAAAGAATCTTTTTACAATTCCATTAAATTATTTCTGCAATCTCTCCAGCAGGTCAGAAAAACCAGTAAATCGTTAAATGATTAGAAGTTGATTTCAAGCATCAAGGTAGTCTGGGAAAACGAAATGGCTTGCAACTATTATATCATAAAGTGAAATCCCTTAGATGCCGGTCTCCTCTTTATCCTGCAGATTGTGGAGCCTAATTAAAAATTTCCAGAGCATTCCAGAGTGTAAAGTCTCTGCCCACCTATGTCTGGGTCATGACAGATGGAGCACATAGTACTCGCTAAAACTTTAAAATGAAGCACACCAGTATCTGTATAAAACAAGCATTTGCTGTTTACAGAAACTTTAATGAACACATCCAGAATCTTTCCTTCACTGGAGGTCATGTCTTTACCTGGACTGAGTGCAGAAACAGTCTTGTATTGATATTGTATTTAACAGGCAAGATCACAAATATATTGGGCCATACCTATGATTCAGTGTGGTCTTAGGACAGTGCAAAATCAGGTGGTTTCTTTTTTTTTTTTTTTCTCTTCTATTCTTAGTTTGATTTTAAGCTGGTCACTAGCTTGTTTTGAAAGACTTGGTCTCTTTGAGCAGAAATGTACACACTTCAGTCAGCAGCTTCATTACTAAATAACCTCAAGTCTTGTGTTCTCCAAATTTGCATACCCTGTCCAAGTTACATGTTAACATATATGAGCACTCTACACATAGAAGTCCCTGGAAGTTGCACGTATAACCAGGCTATAGAATAGAAATTAGCTATTCATGACACACTGAATGTTTGTGAAATGTCCGTAAAGTAGTATGTAAACTCCTCTGTATGTGTATGAGTTCTCTAGTTCTTTACAAATCTGAATATTAACCCATTATACCTTTTTTGTTCACATATATGCTATTTTTCAAGTTGAAACAACCTTAATCTCAACAAAACAAAACAAAAACAAACAAAAAAAAACAAAAAAAACAAAAAAAAAACACCAACAACAAACCTTTAACCACTTGGCTTTCTGTCAGAAGAAAATATATTTTCTGAAATGTCTTTTTAAAAAGTGTGTTTAAAATCCACTAACTTGTTCAAAGTGAAGTTACAGCATTCAAGTAATTGGAAGAGATCTGATAGTTGTAGAAGTTGTTAGACAGTATATTAATCATAGTCACTATCCGCAAGATTACATGTTCACCGTGCCTTACTATTTCAATTTAAATAGATGCTTCTTGCTATTTCAAAATCTGGTAGTGGACTGTAGAACAAATCAACACTTCCTCTTCCTGTAGTTTCTCACATTATTTCCACTGTTTGAACATTAAATGCAATTATTTTAGATATTGATCATTGTTGCCTTCCTTCTTCTTCACTTAACAGAATCATTAATTTATTTTTGTGTGTTTGTTTTTTAGTTTGGTTTTCTTAGCCATCTCCTTGATGCCTACTGGGATAATACTGATATATCTGATGCCCTATGCTAATGTGACTTTGTTACACCATGACTGAATTTGACTCAGCATGTTTTACATAAAACTGTTTGTTTTATATAAAGAATATATGTATGTTGATCAGAAGAGATTAAAAACCCAATGGACTCTAACTGAAACCTGTTCTTCTCCTGGTTATATCTCTTCTGTGAACCATATTGTTTCCTTCTTAACAGGCTGGAAGCACCCTTGGAATAACTTATACATGCTCTAATATTACTACATGGTATAATAAATGTATATGGTGCCCTGTGGGTATCACAGTTGGATTGTTAAGCATATGCCAAGGACATTTCTGCTCATATGTCAGTTTGGAGACAAATCCTGCTGCAACAAAGTAAAGCTAGCCTTAAGGCACCATATAAAATATTACAGATTACTGATTTATCAAGTGACAGTAACTAACGACAGGGAATAAACTCTCTTTCCTTCTAAGTCATCACCTCATGTAAAAGTATCACCAGTGACCTGTCTAGCAAAGCAGCACTCTAGTTTTTGCACAGCAATCAATGTGGCTGGTCTCCATACTACAGCAGCTGGTCTGCTGTGGTAATTCCCAGTGATCTCTGCACACTGCAGTTCTCAGTGATCTCTGCAAGAGTCAGGAATTCTCAGCAGATGCCCAGGATCAACTGCTAGGAGATTAACAGGGGACTTTTGCAGAGAGTGTTTCTCCTTATACAGCGTGAAGGGGAATTTCATCCATGACTATATGGAAAGAGAAATTAAGTTCAACAGCAGTGAAGCAGTTGAACCATGCTAGAAGTTTACAGACTTTAAAGAAAAAGTTAATTTTTATTTTCTTTTACCCACAGGTCTACCCACGGATAGCGCCGGCATTTTGGCACTACCTGCGGGTAGAAGTGAGTAGCGGGTATTTGAATACTCCCACATCTTTACTTTACAGCTTACTAGTATTAACTGACCTCCTAGTTTGTCCATTGTGCAAAAATAATTAGCAACCATTCTAGGTGTCATTTTCTGTGAATGTAGTCTTGTACTAATTCCATGTTGTTTTGACTGCAGTGTAATTACTAACCCAAGTCACAAAAATGTGATGTGTTTATATACAAGATTAAAGACAAAAAAATTGAAATCTAAGTGAAGGCCATATCATACATTATGACTATAGCACAGTATCGAAGTACAGAAATCCATACCTGCACCTCCTTTTATAAATACATTCATGAGAAGAATATGGAGCTTCGTTCTGCTGTATCATTTTTTCAAAGTTCATGCAACTCAATTTGATACCATTTCTCCCCTCTTTTGTCCCTCAGGAGCATGAGCAGCTCAGCTATTCCTCCACAAGGTCCAAGGCTCCAAGTGTTATCATCACAGGTCTCAAGCCAGCCACCAAGTATATATTTCATATCAGAGTCAGGACGGCAGCAGGATACAGCGGCTATAGCCAGAAGTTTGAATTTGAAACTGGAGATGAAAGTAAGTTTCACTGAAGGGAAAAAAAAAACAAAACAAACAATACCACAGAATTAGCATCTAATTCTAAAACAGTGGGACACTGAGAGTTTGAATGACTGAATACATACCATTTGCTTATCACAAAATGACCACTGCTATATGTTTTTAAAAAAAAATAAAAGTAAACCTCAGCTTCACACTTCTGGATTTATAACAACAAATAAAAATTTTAGCCCAATGCTGCAGCTGAAGGAATGAATGTTCTCTTCTGCAAAATTTCGTTATGGATCTCTTCCAGCTTGAGATATTCTATGATTCTATGATCCTTTCTCTGCTTAAAGAAGGCTTTCCTTTTGACATCTAGAAATACCATTAGTCGGGCTTTACCTAAGTACAACAGCTTCATGCAAGCTCCCAGAACATAGTGATGGAGTCTTTCTCTGTAGTTGTTAGACTCTACAAACAAAAAAACCACAAAACTTCTATATGCATTCCTGTCAATGAGTAAGCCTATTGAATTTGCCAGTAAGAAGCAGAAAGCCTACATATTTCTACAGAATATGCAGAAAGCCTTGATGCTATGTATGATGTTCATGCTCTGAACAATTTTTTAAGTCATGTATTGCCCTCCATGTTCAAAGAAACTGCAAACAAGGTATTTACAAGCATTTGAGATAAAATTAGTGTAGTAGATACAACACTAAAATACTCATAAATGAAATTACTTTAACCAATTATATATACACCATGTTTTTCATCACTCTTTTAGAATTCAAGTTGCTTAAGATAAAGTACAGACTCAAAACTATGTAAGTGATTTCAAGAATACCCATGGGTTTGTGTTCCATTTTAATTTGATCTTAACTTCTATTTCAAAAAGGTTTTAGGGATAGATTTCCAAGTGCTTAATGCCTAATTGGACTTTTTTAAATTTTCTGGGTACCTAAGCCGATTTGTTTGAGTAGGAATTGAGCACTTGCGTGCTTTCAAGAATTCCAGTAGATCCTGTCTACATATTCTGATGCAACAAATACTAGGCTTTGGGCACCCAGGGACATAACTCTTATAAAAAGTAAATGGTATTTAAACCTCTATGAGCCTATGTCATGTTTGTGAAAACATGACTTACCCATCTACATCAGCAAGACTGTGGTTCCAATGACATTTCTCTCATTGGCACTGCTGATAGAAACATCTGCTTGGAGTGTGATTCCACCCACTCCCTCCCAAGCCCATGTCTCCTTCAGTTGCACTAATGAAACTGGCTCTTGGGCTGCATGGTGAGTTAGAGCTCACAACACTCTTAAACATTTATTACTTCCATTACATCTAAGCTCTCAGTGTGAATCTTGGTAGTGAAGCATAAATACTCATTATATATTTGAAGTTTACCAACATTTATTGCTTAAGCTTGTGCCTGACTAAGAGTATTTGATTTGTTATAAATATAGATCATGTGATTGAAAGGAAATGCAGACAGAAGAGGTTTTGTTTATGATCAATCGAGATAGAGGTCAAGAGAAGTTCTGCCACTGTTTGAAATGGTACCTGGAGCTAGATAAAGACTTCAGTTTAATTAAAAGGGTAGTTCAAAGGACTGTGGTCTTACTCAAATATTTATACAGTACTGCTTTAGATTTGAAAGGGGAAAAAAAAGCAAAGCAAGTTCCTGCTGGTAAATATTACTTATTTCTAATTGAAGCAGTACTCAGTGACCAGTCAAATGATGCCATTTCTCTCCAGATATCTTATTTCCTCAGAGTAGTATTTTGAAAATTGCCCTATTCTATTCTTTAAGGCAGTATCAGATGATTCTGATTATTCATTTGTACCTCTTTCATAACACAGGCCAAATGTCTGTAACTCTATAACTTTTCCGGACAGCTCATGACATCGGATTGAAATGTAACATCTGCCATATACTAATACTCTTGATTTAAAGTGTTCTAGTAATGGGGAGCTCACCATATTTATAGGTAGATGGTGCCAGTGCTTAAGCCTCATAATTAAAAATGTGGACCTTATTTCTAGCCTGAATTTTTTTTTATTTAGCTTGTATCTTATGACCCTTTCTTGCCAAATTAGAAGCCAAATACAATCATAAATCTCTTTCTCATCTAAATGTGTTTGCCGTTTTTAAGAATTTTCTTGTCTTTCCCATAAGTGATATAAATTCTCTCACTCTAAAACCACAGCAGTTTTTCCAAACATTTTGTAGCTCTCCAAAATTTTAACATCCTTTTTGAAGTACATCAGAGCTGAACCTGTTACTAAATTAAGCTGGAAAACAAAATATGTTTATGATGCCATAAACAGACCTAACACTTCTTACCTCCTTATAATTCAGTTTTCTTTTACTTACAGGTCTAAGCACTTGCTGCCTGAACTACAGCATTTTTACAGCTGTCTTACACAGCTGAATAACTGGAACATAACAACGTTTTTTGTCAGTACCATTGTATTCCACAATACTGACCTACATTTAGATGGAGGGGTTGGAAAGAGTTGTGTTGAGACTTGGACTGCATAGTTATATCAGTACACATAATGTTAATTTGCCATCGCTGGCATGCATTTATCTTAAAAACCAGTCTAGGTCAAGCTGTGTAGGACCTATCTTCGTCATTCACTACTCTGGCAGTATGCAGCTCAGCTGAAAATTTTGTGATTTTTTAATATATATACATCTCGATTATTCTGAAAGATACCAAATAATATTAGACCAAGACAGACTATTTCAAGTCCCTTCATTGCTACCCATTAGAAACAAGTTACTAGGTGAAAATTCTACATTTGCAATTACTTTTTGTGGTCTTTCAGTTAGCCAGGTTTTTATTTATTTAATGTGAGCTAGACTGATTTTATATAAAGTTAACATTTTCATGAGAAGGCTGGGAAGAATAGTCTTTTATAAGTCTGTGTTGTCACAGAAAATTTATCAACCAACAATCTCATAAAAATGACAAAAAATAGTTCAAGTCATGTGTTTGATAGAAATCCTTCTTAACTGGCATTAGCTGTTAACATGCTTCAGCTCTCTACCAATTGTACATGTCTTAGTATCTAGAGAAGAAATCCAGGACCAGTTGCAGATGAACATCCAAAGTTGATTCCAGTTACCCTGCTTGAGTATTGACATAATTTGTTAATAAATAGTGGTAAAGTAAGCAATCCAAAATTGGGGCTTTTCTTTAACAGTGACAGACAAGGTTTAAAAAAGTAATGGTTCATCAATTGTGAGACATGTATATCAATGTCCTAAAATATACAGTCCTTGGCAGGACAGTGCTGTGATGCCTTCTCCAGTTTACTGTTTGAAACACTATTTGTGCCACTTCAGTTATATAGGATAAAACCAGATACATCATTACTAGGAACACTAAAACATTTTGATGTAATTATTAATGGTTGTGCATGAGTCAGAAAGAAGACCAACTCTCTAGCTGTAATGAAAAAAGTTAGTTAATCATGCAATGTTGACCTGGTTTTTTGGGAAGTGCCCTCACTTACTGACCAGCAGACTGAGGCAGCCATTTCTTGGGGAGCATGTTGTTGTTGTTAAACTCTTTCTCCCTGCTGCAGAAACCAATAAAAGGAAAATCTAAAAGAGTAAAATTTGTACTTTCTTTGTGAAAGAAAATGGGAGTTACCTAGAAAAGTCAGAAAAATTTGCTTCAAGGAAGCAGGGGTGGATGAATGGATGTTATCGGGCTTTCTTCCACTGTTAAAATTAAGGGGTTGCTGCTGGGAAATGTAATACCTTTGAAAAGCATAGTTACTACTGCTTTTGACTATGTTCCTTATTGCCATTTTATTCAGTCTCCCTGTTTCAGCACCTTACAGGCAAAAAAAAAGCTGACAGGGTTTCATACAGTCCAGCACACACAGGTGTACCACTGCTGTGGCTATAAATTGAAGCATAACCTCTCTCCTCATTTCTGCTTTTATGTATCAGGAGTACCAACTATCTGAGTCACCACAAAAAGCTCTGGTCCTTCCTAGGATAGAATAAAATGTATTCTGAGAATAAAGAAATCATTTGTCCCAGGGCAAACATGCTTTAATCTCTGTTTTCTCTCTCCCTCTTTATTTTACTCTCTGCCTCTTCTAACCAGCTGTTTATGGAAGACATTTTTTGTTTGATTGGGTTGGTTTTTTTAAGTTAATGATTCAAAGCATTCTTTTTTTCTGGAGGTATGTTTTTTACTATATCACCTCAGAGGCTCTTGTGCCTAGAGGAACTTGTAAAATATTGAACAATTTACAGTTGTTAGGCAGTGCAGTGTTTTCATGCTGTAACTCTCTTATGCATGGCTTGTTCTAAAACCGAGAGTATTCTCTATGTCAACCTTCTCGACATTAGGAAAAAAAATCTGAAAGGGAACTAGGTGGCTTGTTCCAGAAGGGACCTGAGGGGCAAACTAGCATGTGTGCAGTGTGGACTAGTGCTTGGGCTGAACAGAGTGATAAATGTAAGCACATGTTGATTTTTAATCCAGAAGCAACATCAACTTTTGTATGCTTCAAATAAATAATATTAACAGTAAAAAAAAAAAAAAAAACCAAAAAACAGAAATGCTAATAGAATACCTGATTAGGTATTTTATAAATTTGAAGACTGTGAAAAATTAATTGGCTTAAACCCCTGATCTTGATGAAACAATAACTGTAATTTTTTTACTATAGACACAGATGGTGACTTTCTTGTATTGCCAGATCTGTTGAATTCTCACATGCTTCTGTCTCTTCCTACAGCCACAAAATCTATCTTTAACTTTTCAGCCTCAAATCCTGCTATTTTGGATTTGCCACCAGATGTCATTTAGACCCTGATCTCCATTCTTTCCAGAACTCCAGAGCTCAAGGGAGGGGTCTTGAATCATTGATTCTGATAGAGATCCAGCGTTTCAAACATATGCTCTGATTCATGCCATGACAGAGAAGCCATCCCTAGGATTTTTAGAAAGACATTGAATTACCAATGCAAAATGTATATTTTTTTAGAATGTTTGATGCTTTGGCAATGGTAAATTAAACTTCTGATTGAAACAAACAAATGAGAAGGCACATATCTCATATTAGAAACTGTTTTGCTGGATCTCTCCCCATGTCTGCCCAGTCCTACTGTTCATTCAATAGTAGCAAGCACCAAATACCTCAGAATGTCTCATTTTAATCTTGAAGTATTTACTTACTCTTACATTTTTTCAACCATTTGTTTTTCAAATTTGACTTTGTCATACCTGATTACTGTATGCACCCAGAAGCCCTGGAGACTTTACTTTTCCTCTGCATTTCCTGAACAAGAGCAACATTCTTGCTCAGATCGCAAACTATTTGCCCAGGCTTTCCATTAATCCACTGCTCAGAAAGCTAATGTTAGGGGGAGCACTTGAAAGAAGGCTTTTCAAGCAAATACATACCAAAAAGTTTTACATTCTTATGCTAGTGATAGCATTATTTTTACCTTTCAAAAGTTCTTTTTAAGATTGCCTTTCCACTGCCTCCTCCCTTTCCCACATTCCCCTTTAGGTTGGAGCCCATCAGCTCACTGGAGCACAGGAACTACAGCACTTCTGAAAATGGAAAGGTTACTCTAATTGGACTTTATATTTTTCTTTATTATTTTTCTTAAGCACTGTTGTGTACAATGCCTTGTAAATCCATCTGACAGCCAGTTCCTGACTATTAGAGCTTCAGCTCTCACCATCCACAGTCCTCTATCTTACAGTTACTCACTATTATCTGTCTAGCTGTCTCTCTGTCACTTTTTTATCTTTCAGTCTGCTGGAAGGTCTGCTGCCTGATAGATGTCAAACTGAAAAAACTGAAGGGTGTAGCTTAGAGGCAGAAGTGAGCTGTCAGTTAGGACTTCCAGCCCTTTTATATCAAATATACAACCTTTTAAAAGATTTTTTGAGAAATTTGCTCAAAGAAAGGAGAACAGAGATGGAAAGTTCTCTCTGTCTTTCATCCTTTTCCACCATGACTAAAATGTCTGCACCATTCCTTCCTGTATGCCCAGTGAGGAAGTGAAGAAGCCTTGGGGTATTTTCCTTCAGCCCAGAGAGGAGGCAAAGTGCAGCTCCTCCTCCACACAGTTGGCTGAAGAACCCAAAGAGAAGCTGAGACAGGGCATGGATGTAAAAGGTAGTTGGTGGGGACAGTACTGACATCAGGCTGGATGCAGAAGGGATTTCTGTGCATGTTGTTAAGCAAGGAAGCTGGAACGATGCAATTAAGACACTTCAAATGTCATTTCAGGTATAACCTGAATTAAGCATTAAAAGTAACAGGAGTGAAGAGTTTATATGGATAGTATTCTTCTGGGTACAAGTATCATATATGTTGAAGTTTGAAAGTCAAATCACTGCTGTGACTAATCACGTTAATTGCGGCTACAATGTGTTTGAAGTGTTTTGACACCCAAACATTATAGTATACTATCTAATCATGTTCTGGGTTAAGTAATAAATCCTCCCTTTTCCTTGTCTTATACTACTCATTTTTTAAACTATGTTTTTGTCAAAATGAACTTATTGAGCAGGCAGGCCTAGAGAATGAAACGTACTACCAGACACAATAGCTAGCCCAGCTAGATGGGTTCTAAACTCCTGTATGTGGTTTACATATTCCTGTTACATCAGTGTTTCCTCACCCCCTTGCCTATCAGCTTTAACTGTCAAATACATGGTACAGCCACATTCATCCCTGTGATCACAGAGCTGCTAACCGTCACTGGATGGATTTCTGTGGTGCATAGTTGCCGGAGATATGAGACCGTACACTAGACGGTGTAGAGACAGCAAAATAATGATTTTAGCTATATGAGTGCTGGCCATGCTGTCTAACAAATGAGATTCTGGAAAAAAATGCTATGTACTTCTATCATGAAATGCAGCACTCTAATATGTACACACAAAGAGATGAAATAAGGTTGCAGGAATTTTCTTGGCTTTGCAACCTATCATAATTGTTTTTTAAACTGAGTTTTTCTGGCTTGCATAATCAAGACTAGTCCTGAGGAGAAACACAGGGTCATATACCAATATGCACAGCTGATGAAGGGACGAAAGAAGGAAGAAAAATCGGGAAATGACAAGAAGGTTTCAAAAACATTCACAACAGAAACAATACATATTAAAGCTCTTATTTACAACTTGAACTTTACCTTAAGAGAAAGATGGAGAAATGAGAAAAAAACAGAGAGATTGAGAGACATGATGAATTTCATTTAGAATGGCAAAATGTAAAAATTTTATTTATTGAGTGTCCCTGACTACTATCTTCTCACTGCCTAGATAGCAGTTTATGTAACCTTTTACCTGTGTGAGGAGTCTCTGTATGTGCATATACCTGTGCTTATATATGTGTTGTTCACTGCACTGTGCCTTTATTGATTTCTAGAAGGATCACTTCAAGAAAAAATAATTATTTCCATCATTTTGCCTTACCTGTCTCTCTGTCAGTTTTTAACACATCCACATTTTCCAATTATACTTGTCTGTGATTTGACATTTTTATCTGACAAGTAAATTAAGGTCATCAGGAAGTTTCAGGGTTGAAAGCCCCCTGTAGTGATTTGGCTACTTGAAAAAAAAAATCCTAATGTATTGGACACTGGCACCTCTGCCAACACAGTAAAATACAAAGAGAAAGAGAATTATCACTTTTTAAGTACCTACAGTCTCAGATTAAAATTTTACTTCTTACAGGTAAAACTAAATCAGTCTGGAATTTCTCCCCTTTGTGAATTTGTCTCTAGTTCCTGATAGAAAATATGTTATGAAGCTGATAGGTTGCCTTCTGTTTTAGCTAAAACACCAAGAAATAGCAGCTCCATTCAGCAGAAATGATCCAAGACATGTGACTTTCTTCTTCTCAATAGCTGCAGAGTGCTTTTTTGGACTATGGAATCAGTCCCTATATTTGCACCTTTAATTCTCATGAAGAAAGGCCGTGGGTTGTCTCCTTGGCAATGAATTTCTGTAGAAGAAAACCACAGCTAATTTATCTTAGCCAATGGTGTGCTTTTCTTCTGCTGAATTCACTATTTTTGCACACCTCCTTCTCCTATTAAAAAAAAAAAAAAAAAAAAAAAAAAAAAATTGCTGAAATGGGCAAGGTAGACTCATCTAAAACCTCCTCCCCCGTTTACAACTTAAAACTGTACTCGGCTTTAACAATCCTTGCAACATTTAGCACAACCCCCATTAGTCTGAAAATAGTATTCAGCATTTGATTTGGAGAACCTGTTATTATTTGCATTGTTACTTGTGCGGCATGGTAGTTCTTATGTTGTATTTTTCCAACTAAATGTGGCTCTGTGGAACATAACACAATGCAGCTAGAATCCATTCCCATAATATCACTAGATACTATTTTGGAGATTAGCTATTCAGTGAGTATTTGCTACATCATTTATTGGAAGATGTATATATTTAACTTGTCTGTGGAGAGCTTATGGCCACAGATACTGAATGCCTTGTAATTTACTGCCTGTGCGTATCTCCATTAAATTATATGGGCAGAAACCTAATGGCAGAAATTTTACAAGTTGGTTTTGCTGAAAATTTGACATAAACTACTATTGTGTTTATTTGCTTTAGTACTATTACAAAGCCAGTATAGACTACTAATTTCTAAACCACTCACAACTATTATTGAGAAGCCAAACATTTTTCTTGGAAACAGCGTTTTAGGAGGCTTTGGACAGCAATGTGTGCATTGTATTGGGCTTCATCAACTGCAAAGTGAGAGAAAGTAACCTACTGAGCTTTCTAGGTAGCAGCCTAGGTGATTTCCCTAAGCTTTAATCATCTGGTGCCTAAAGAAAGCTGAAGAGTTTGCTTACAGAACAGTTTGCAAGTTTACAAAATCAAAGTTACCTTCCTGATAAATCTAAAATTTATTTTCTTTTCTACATTTACTACTGTTGTCAGAGGTCACTGAATAGAATTATTCTTCTTTCAGAACAATGTTATGTTTCTCATGGAAACAGAGAGTAAGAATCAGTTAAACGTCATGTAGCAAAAATGTTCAAGGGTAACTGAATTTAAGAAATAAAACTTTGGAGTCACAAGACAGGAGACAGACAAAAAACTCAGCCTAATTCTTTTTCTGCTCATGTAGTATTTGGACAGTGAGGACCAACTAGACTGTAAGGAGGTACTTTGTCAATGTAAAGATTTAATAGTATACAGAATAAATTAACAAAAAGAGCAAGTGTCTAGAGACCAGATAATTTAGGTGACCTTTTTTAATTCCTAAACGTCCTACAAAAAAACAGAGGGAAAAACACGAGGCATAAGAAAATCAGGGTTTTTTTTCAACTACAGTGTTGCCAATCACAAGAGCATGTTATAGATAAAACTGTATACATTTTGTGACAATAAAACTAAACACCAGACATACAGAAGAGTGTGTAAGGCTACACACTATGTTTTTTCTGCTTTGCTTCCTCCTGAACCGAGTTTAATATCTCTTACATACACAGCACTGCTACTGACTGCACTGGGACAGTTGGATGAAGAGAAGTTCTGAATTAGATGCAGGATTAAGCTAAATAAAGCTAAAGAAAAAAATATGTTCTAGTTTTGTGTCCAAAATCTTGTAATATTCAAACTTTAGTAAATTACAAGTGTCTGATAATGCCAGCTCCTCATTTTAAAAACCTAAAAACATCTTCTCCCCTTCATCATAGTTGGGACATGGATTATGGTTTTTCACTTGGCACATCTGATGTCCTTGCTAAGCACCGAGGAAACTATTACAGAACAATTACAACATTTGACCAGTGAAATGTTATCACCCATTCTGCAAGAACCCTGGGTAATGGAGCTTTAACCTCTTTTCTTTGTGCTTCTCTTTCAGCTTCTGATATGGCTGCAGAGCAGGGACAGATTCTTGTCATTGCCACTGCTGCTGTTGGTGGATTCACTCTCCTGGTCATCCTCACTTTGTTCTTCCTGATCACTGGGAGGTAATTAACACTACTCAGTCAGAGTAATCAAAACTAAGAATTTAAGAATAATACTTAAGTCATTAAACCACATTTTCAGTGCTAAAATAAGGGTTAGACATACCAGGGTTCATGTCCTCTCGGTTCAGCACTGCTCATACTCACACTTCTGTTGTGAATGTTGTCTTTCATAGAAACCCAGTTTGGCAGCTAAACAATTATGTCAAATCAGGAAATAGCTTGGCTGTTTTAAAAAGAAGTTTATGGACTTCTTGTCTGTAGAGCAAGAATTGAAAAATACAAGGTACCTGCACCCTCAAGGCTCTGGCATTAGAAGACAAAAACCAAAAAAAAAACCACACTATTTTTTACAAAATCTCATAACTGGCAATTGCAAAGCTTTGGAGGATGTAACCTTAGGATTTTTTATACCTTGGGGTTGGCAGTGTAGCTTGCTAAAGGCACTTGAGTGGACAATTTTTTATTACTTTTACACTTGAGTGGACAATTTTTTATTACTTTTGCTATATTAAATTTGTAGGGAAAATCATACACATTTATGTATGTATCTTATATGCAGATTTCTATATCTATTAAAATAAAGGAATTCTGTAATGAAATAAAATTTAAGGAAAACTTTACTCCAAAATACTGGAATGATTCTACAGCCTGTGATATCACTGGTGAACAGAAAATAGCTTCCTGAAGGCCCTGTTTTATTACTTTTTGGCTTTTATTTTTTTTTAATTGGATTGAAGATATCCCAACTAAATCTACAATACAGCAGTACTGTTGCCCTGTAGGGTAATTCACCAGTCTGGACAATAATTATTTTTATAACTACCCTGATTCTTATACTTAAAATTCTTTTAGTACAGTGCTGATTGTCCACTTTCCTTCAGTTGTTGTGTCGATCGGGATCAAGTAATGACATTATGCAAATTGGATGAGAAAACATTTTGATTTGAGTAGCCAGATGCTATGCTCAATTACACACTGAAGGTTTTAAGGGAACTAGCAAATTCTAATTGGACATGCTAAAAAACACATGTAGAGGTTGGAACATCAGTCCTTGCTGGATCTTTGATTCCCACAGGCGTAGCTGCTTTGATGGTGCCTTGTTTCCTTTTTCACTGAGCCTCCAGGTGTTTCCTGTGAGATTTCAGGACTTCACCTGCTTCTACCAGGAAGCAAAACAGAATTTCAGAGGACAATGCCATTATGTCCCCATCTTCTCTGTGAGACATCACTGGCACCACAGTGCTGCCCTGGATCAAGAAAGCCTAAAACCAGACTGATGCTCTGTTAGAGGTATGGGCCTTCAAGCAGATGAGTCAGGCTCATAGCTCCTGCAGTAGGCTCTGTAAGGGAGTTGTGTGGGCTCTAGACCTTCCCTACCTTTTTCCCCTCTCTCTCCTTCAGACACATAAAACAGCTGGTGGAAGAGCCTCCATGTGAGGAGGATTCTCTGTGGAGTTTCCTTCTTACCTGGCTTGGGGACAGAAAAAGTTCAGTGTTGGGATAGGATTCTGCACTATTCCGATCCTGGTTTAGAGTCTGTGTTTACACTTAGAGAAAAAGTGTTATACTGACTCCTCTGAATGTGATAATGGTCATCACAGATAGGGCTGATGTCGATAGACAGTCCTGCACTTTGAGATTTGTAATTAAGTTTCTGTTTTGTTCATTGTCTGGGTTTGAGCCCAGAGGGCAACTGAGCACCACACACCCGCTCACTCACCTCTTCCCCCTCAGACATGGGAAGGCGAAAATAGGCAAAAGCCTTGGGAATTGGGATAAGGACAGAGAAGGACAACTCACCTATTCACAGGCAAAAGACAGACTCATTAGGGGAAGAAAAAGAGCATCAGTTTTAATTCAGACACTAACAACAACAAAACAGCCAGAGTAGGACAGTGAGAAGTATTACCACTTCTTAAAATCACCTTCCCCTCCACCCCTCCCTTCTTCCCAGGCTCAGCTCTGCTCCTGATCTCTCTACCTCCTCCGCCCAGTGACAGAGAGGGGCAGGGGATGTGGGGGTTGGGTCAGTCCCCCAACCTCAGGGGAGGACTCCTCACATTCTTCCCTTGCTCCAGCATGGTGTCCCTCTCACGGGAGACAGTCCTCCACGAATTTACTCAGACATGAGTCCCCACAGGCCACAGCCCTTCCCGAGCTGCTCCAGCATGGATCCCTCTCATGTGTTGCAATATTCCTACAACAGCGGGGGCTTCTTCCCTCAGATTCCTGGCCTTCTTTGTGGGCAGCCACCTGCTCCAGCATAGGGTCCTCCACAGGCCTGCAGGTCAACATCTACTCCACCAGTGACCTCCATGGTCTGCAGGGGGGTCTCAGCACACCTCCCCCTGTGCCTCCTCCTTTCATCTACCCACCGTGGTGTTTTCACAGGTGTCCTCCTTGCAACCCCTCCTCACAATCCTAACTCCCCATGCCAGGTTCCCCTTCTTAAAAACATTATTGCAGAGACACAGCCACAGTTGCTAATTGGCTCAGCCTTGGCACAGAGGTAAGTCTGACTTGGAGCCAGGGGAGCTTCAAGAAGCTTCTCACAGGCTTCACTGTAGCCCCCTCCCCTGCTACCAAAAACCCCTGCCACGAACATAAACCCAGCACACTGGTATGACATTACATCTGATCTGAAAAGAAAGTGAAGTCCTGTCAGTGTAGGACAGAGGGTTTTTTTGCAGTACCCCAGCAACCAAATATGGCACTACAGTAGCTACTATTATGTGAATTAATGCTCCCTCTGCTGAATAATAAAACCAGTTAAGTCTAACATTCTGCTAAAGTTAATGGGAGCACTTAACATTGGAACATATTGTGACCTTACATAATCTTAGAAGCTAAGCAAATATTCCTATGGTTATTAAAAATGCTGACAAACAGTAGGGTCTTTCAGAAGAGAGAGAAGTTATTCAGACAAGGACAAACTTTTGGAGAAGAAGACTGTGTGTAACCCTTATATGAAATCTGAAACATAACTCAAATGCTTACTTTAGAAATGTCCTGGGTTTGAGTGAGGGGCAGGGATTTTTGGTAGCAGGGGAGAGACCTACAGCAGTGTCCCCCTGTGAGAAGCTTCTTGAAGCTCCCCCGGCTCCAAGTCGGACCCTCCTTTGCACCAAGGCCGAGCCAGTTAGTGACGGTGGCTGCACCTCTGTGATAACTCATTTAAGAAGGAGAACCTGGGAGGAGTGGTGGGAGTTGTGAGGAGGAGTTGCAGCAGGACAGCTGTATGAACACTGGGGTCAGTGGAAGAAAGGAGGAGAAGGGGGAAGGTGTGCTGGAGCCGAAACTGCCCTGTACCCCATGATGAGACAGCAGGGCTGCCCCCCTTTGCAACCCATGAAGGTCTACAGTGGAGCAGATACCGATTTGCAGTTGGGGGAGGGGTGCCACGCCGGGACAGGTGACTGCTCCCAAAGAAGGCTGGGACCCCATGGGAATAAGGCCCCGCTGTTGTAGTTTGGCCCTGGGAGGATAGCAACATGACGGGGTGACCATAAACCACACACCCATGGGAGTGAGTGATGTCAGAGTTGGTTTGTGGAGGACTGTCCTGGTGAGAGGGGGACCGTGCTGGAACAGGCAAGGAATGCCAGAAGTTCCTCCTCCCCCCTAAACCCGAGATGGAAGAAGCAACAGGACTGACTGCACCTCCCATTCCCTGCCCCTGCGCCGCTGGGAGAAGGAGGTAGAGATATCAGGAGCAAAGCTGAGCCTAGGAAGAAGGGAGGGGTGGGAGAAAGAGTTTTCAGGAGGTGGTAATGCTTCTCACAGCCCTACTCTGTTAAGTGGTGGTGTTGTTCTTAGTGTCCGAATTAAATTTTACGTTCTTCTTTTCCTCCCCTAATGAGTCTGTCTTTTGCCTGTGCCTTAAAGGATGAGATCATCCCCCTTTCCCGTCCTTATCTCAATTTCCTGAGTCTTTTTTTCCCTCCTTCACAGTGTTGGGGGGGAAGGGGTGAGTAAGCAGTGTCTTTGCTTTATTTTCCACTTCTCAGCACTGCGGGGGAAAAAGGGGGAAGTGATCAGCTGCATGGTACTCAGTTACCTTCTGAGCTCAAACTATGAAAAGAAAAATCTCATTAAACTCAGATGTGAAAATATTTTTTTTTTCTTCTGTGTTTATTCCTCCTGTTTGCTAATGTTAAGGATATCAGAGATACCCTTCTCTTAGCTTTCTAACATCTTATTCAACAGGACCATTTCAATTATGTAAGAAGATACAAATTCATTTCCAAGCACTACTTAAATGCAGTGATAAGAGTGTATTCTGCAGAAGACAGAGCAAGAAAATTTTGAATAAATACTCAATTTACTGTAGGACTGGAGGCAAATTTCTGCGTGAAAAATGGGATCGGTTCCCTACAGATGTGCTCTGCTTCACTGTTTAGAATTAACAATTTGATGAGCTGTCGAGTCACAGGGCTGCTGATGAGTCTATTCATAGTGGAGAGGCTGGGTTAAATGAGCACCTGCCTCTGCACTTTGCTGAGTGATTACCCACCAAGAGCAAGCATGAAGCACGGCTGGCGATTGCAGATAGAAAAAATGAAAGAGACAGAGACTTCGAGGCCCAGGTTATGCAGTGAGATGGGGGTCTTGGCTAAATTCCAGGAAATGCAGTGTTAAAGCTCTGTGTGATTTATTCTTATCATTACAGAAATTATTCCTCTATGATTGTTCTGTAGTCAAAACTAACAGGGAATGGGGAGCTGGAGCTGGAAGACTCCTCTGCTGGTGATTACTCACCAGCTTCTGTAGTCAAACTTTGGGGCCACATGCATACTTGGCAGGATTGGACAGGGTTAAAGCCCCATTGCTCTGACTGTTCCCTTGGACAGACACTTCAAGTGTAAGAGTTTGTGTTCAGTGTTCTTGGCAGCTGGTATCCTACAGGCCAGTTGTTCAGATCCTAAAAATGGCCTTGGAATGCTTAGTGGTCCCAGAAACGAGTACAATCTGAAGATTTCCACAGAAGCTGAGAATTTACTGGTTGCTGTTTACCTCCATAAGGGTACATAGCCATGACAGTTTAGAAGTTTCTGCCCTTCAGGTGTTCATCATCACCTCTGTAGCAGTGAATGAATTTGTGTGTGTTCCTACTCTTAAGTAGTTTACGAGGAGGGTGTATATTTCTTATATCTCCATTGTTAGTATATTACTGGATATACTATCTGTAATTATAGTTTAGTTTATTTTATAAGGCTAGTAATGAACACACAGAGGCCAGTCATTTTTTCCAAGGTGGTCTTGGAACTGAATGTCTGTACACCAAAGCACATGTCCACATGCACTATTGTTCTCCACCCCACAGCCTTAGCCTCACCCTTAGACCAAAAGATTTCTCTCTAAGTCATACTTCTTAGGCTGTTCAGTGAGTGAGAAAGAGCTTTAAGATCAAAAGAAAATAGTTTTTTTCTTGACTGAAACAGTTGCTCCTATCATGTGACCCTCTAAATCAGCATTAACAGTCCTGCAGGTAGACAGCATTCAGGCTAGGGAAAATTTCATTACAGGGAGCCTGAAAGCTTGCCATATGGCAGTTTTCTTCAACATATCCTTGCATTGTCAGGTAAGGTTGCTAGCAATTCATGAACATCCACGGAGTTTTGGGTTGTTTCCAAGGATTTGTAATTTTATAGCAATCATACAGGCATATGCTGAATCATCATATTCGCATAGCAGGGTACATATTGTTTATCCTATATGATAGTTGCTATTTTAGAAGAAATAATAAGTCAGTGCCTGGCTAGTCTGAGAAGCACAGAGCTACTTGGGGAAAAAAAGGTGATCCTAAAGTGAAAAAATATTTTCTTTTTTCATGAAACTTTGTGAAGTCATATAAACTATTATCTTATGAAGAAATTGTGATCTTTTTTGACCCACTGGATATGACAGTTAATAGGATATGGCTTTATTAGCACAAACCAATGTATGCAAACAAGAATGCAGGGAAGTAATAATTTATTAAAGTATCAGAATTCTTTGGAGGAGGCAAACTTGGAAATAAAGTATTGCATCAAATGAATTTAAGTATTCATTTTCATACTAATCATTCAGCCATGTTTTATTTTTATTTGTATCTAATCTGTTTGTAGTTCTTCATGCATATTTATCTCTTTCAATTCATAACTAAATATATATTCCAAATGCAAAGATTTTGGCTTTCATAAAAGTTCAGATAAAACTTAATGTACATTTATTTTATGCATGACAAGTATTTTAATTAAAACCTCACTTGTTTTTCTTGAAAGATGTCAGTGGTACATAAAGGCCAAAATGAAATCTGAAGAGAAAAGAAGGGCTCATTTGCAAAATGGACATTGTAAGTAGTTCAACACTGTTATATATCTATATCATGTTTTAAATGAAGAATGTTCATTGTTTTCTATACAGCTTTTGCCCTTGATGTTTTAATCTGGCCATTTGAGTAGTTTCTCCATTGTCTGCACCATCAAGGGTATTTATTCTTCTTTGTATGTTCTCTTGAACAATTTCACTGAATTCACTCGAGTTAATAAGGTTTTTTGGTATTCTATTAATAATATTTATCAGTTTTTCAGGTATATTTCTTTGAATTCTCAACTGGTCTGGACCATATTGAACTTCTGCCTCAAAATACCTCTCTTGGTGACTATGTGACTTATTTGTATTCAGTTCTCTTTGGTTGTAGGGATCTACACTTCCGGCCACCAAAGAAATAAAATGTGGAATGGGTTGCCTTCCATCATGTTCCTACTCACTGATCAGTACAGTGAGAAAAAATCCTGGCAATCTCTTGTGAGCAGTAGTTTATGTAGTTTAGTTTAGCTACTTAGTTTAAATTACTAGTCTCACTGTTTTATGTGAGTAGCTATTTAAAGTTTTTATTTATTCAAAGGTTATTATAAAAAACTTATTAAATATTTGGGGGGGGTTGTCATTTTTTATAACATCTCTGGAAATATTATGATCAAGACAGAAGCTAAATCACCAGAAGTCTTTTTTCAGGTGACACCACTATATCCAGCCAAGTTGCTCTTTCTGTCCAGGAAAAGGACACATTTCCCCATAAAGGATACTTCTTAGGAAGATTTGTCTGTCATTTGTTTCCAAACATGGTCAAAAAGGAAAGAAGACAAAAATGTTCCTGCTGAAGAGTTTGATATATGCCTCTGAGACCATGACTGAATTTGAGAAAAGCCTCACTCAGTGTCTTTAAGGCCAGGGTAAATGATAACTGTATTTCATGTTGACACAAAGCTTCATCTCAGAGGCTTCTCATTCATTTGCCGTTTTCTCAGCATCAGACTTGAGGGGGCAAGTTTCTACTCATGTATGTGCTCCATAGGACCAAGGATAAAGAGGAATTACTGTGATTTACCCCAGTAGCTAAGACTCTATTGCCAATAATACTCCCTCCTTTACACGGAGCACTCAGCATCTCTATAAGAAGTACATCCTTCATGCTAGCAGCAATCTTTATCTGACTGCTGACTACCTATAGATTTGATCTTAACCAGGATCTTAACCTGAAACAATATGTGGGGTTGTACAGTCTCTGCTGGGATTGGTATAAGGGTGACTCTCCTAGACTGTCTGAAACTGTTTAAAAAGAAACTCTGCTGCAAGACCTGTACTGCTTAGCATTGCCTGTTCCTGTTCCCAGATTTGTGATGTCCATGCTTTACATCCTATGCTTCTGCAGTGTGCAGAAGAAAACAATCTGCTGTTCATCCTTCCTCTCTCCCTTGGGAGCTCCGTGCAAGTGAGAGGAAGATTTCGGGAAATAAAATCTTTGAAGTGAGTTAGAAAAGGTCTGTGATCTTCCTGATGAGATCCCATGATGTCTGGTGCCTTCCCCACTTCTGTATTGTGTGTGGCCCAAATGGCTGTTGCACCCTACTTAATGAAGCCCAGCCACATTCATGTGACCTGAACATGTGTTATTCACCTAAATGAGCATTCTTCATGCTAAATGAATATTTAGGCTCATCAGATAATGAGCTGCTTTAGATTCAGCTCCTAAGTGATAAGAGGAAGAAGGCTGAGAGGTACTTAATTCTTTTAAAAGAGGTTCTCTTGACCCAGCTGCAGTACCTTCCTTTATCCTGATAAGTTGATGCATTATCTACATCAACTTCTCTTAATGGGTTGAAAGTTTTCCAGAACTTAATCACCACATGGCAGCAGCCTAAAAAAATTCCCATCCAGATAGGCCAAGAGAAACAGCATAAGTTCTTGGACATGCTATACTCAAGAACACAAGGGATATTAGTCATGCCAGAAAATTATGGGTTGCTGGAGGCTGCCAAAGCAATCTGGCACCAACCAGCTATTGCCACAGCCATCTCCAAGGAAGCAAACAAAAATTATTGAAGCCTTGTAAATAGATTTGGATTTTTTTGTTCTCATCTTGCACCTGGCTCTCTGGTTGTTCCAGATGATCAGAGGAGAACAAAACAGCACAGTCCTCCAGGACCCATCCTCAGAGAAGAGGATCTCAAAGATTGGACCTGTTTGGCAAAAGGAATGTTCAGCCATCCACCCATAAATGAAAGGACTGAACTAGAAAGCACTCTTTTCAAAGTAAAGGACAGATTGCCTAAATTGCCCAAGGAACAGCAAAGGGGAATATAAACTGCTTTGGCAGTAATCACTGTTAGTCTTGAGGATTGGCTTTTCCCCTTATCTTTGAGCCGTCACTTGGTGTCTCTGTAGACACCCTTTCAAGTGACCAGCTTGGAGCTCACATTTTCTCTCATGACGTGCTGCATTTTCCAAATTTACCAGCTGTACTTGAAGCATTCCTTAAGGATGTGAGCTAAGTGCAGAGACTCCAGGGATCCTCTTCAGATTAAAATACTAAATAGCATTTGGAAAGGAGATGCTCACAATAATAAAATAAATAAATGCATAAATAAAAGTACTTTATCTTACCCAAAATAGAATTTTCCTTAAAACTTAGCTAGGGCTGTTATTTTTTCCTAAGCAGAAATTTCCAAAAGCTTTACTGCCCTCTTAATTTTCCTGCCTGAAATGCTATACCTCAGGAGATGCTTGTGTTCAGCTGGGACAGAGACAAAACATCATAAGAGTTTGATACTATCTTATCAGTTGAATACCAAAGACTGAGTTTTGTAAAGGCCTTTGACTTTTTGTTTCTGTGGGACAGGTTAAACTCTGGGACCTGTGTAGCTAGCAAACATGACAGTAACTAGAGGTATAAATAACATTCAGAGAACCTAATACCCATATTTTCTCCATTATTTACACTAACACTGGGTGTTGGTTATCACTGCAAGTTGAAAGGATGTTTGATGTAACAATGCACTGTAGAAATCCTGAAGAAGTACCCATGCTTTCAGTCACCCACAACATCTCAGAAGATTTGAGCAGGGTCCAGCAGGACCTTGCTTACAGTTTTAGCCAGTACTTCTGAATGCTTTTGCTAAGTGTTGGGTTGGCAGAGGCTTCTCTGTCTATGGAGTTGTAACACCCAGGTGTTTAATGTCTCAGAAGCCTTACCTAAAAAGGCCATTTGAAGGATAAGAGGAAATGTTTAACTTTGTGCTCAGTCAATCTTTGAAGGCCCTGGTGCTGACAGCAACTGCGAGCAACTCTTGCATTCTACAGTTGGCTTCTGTGAAATCAGTAACAAGCATTAGTAATTTTGGGTCATTATCCTTTTCTGTGGGTTCTGTAAATTTAAATGTGGAAGATTTAATATATTGTTTCAAATCCTTTCAATTTTCCAGTCAAAAACCCCCTCAAAAAACAAAAAACTCCCCATTTCATTGTGTGTGAATGTCAAAGAATTCTTGATTCCTAGTATTCTCTCTTTTTTGCAGTACGTTTCCCAGGAATCAAAACATATATTGATCCAGACACATATGAAGACCCATCTCTTGCTGTCCATGAGTTTGCAAAGGAGATAGATCCTTCAAGAATTCGTATTGAGAGAGTTATTGGGGCAGGTAAAAATATACTCTCTTTAAAAAATGTCTAAGCATGGAAAGGCTGCTTTTCTGAAGTCACCAGCATAATGCAAGTAGTCAAGTGTAGTACAAAATGTGGACATATTTCTGTGATAGCACAAGTTAACTCTCAGGTGTGGTGTACATGAGGTATTGTATTTGGCTAATGTTCCAAATGTGGGTATATTGAAATAAGGAGTTCTTGAGAGGCAGATTCTCCAAAGCGATAGGTTTATCCCAAACCATTTTTTAGGGCTTTATCAATGTTTTGGGTAGGGTTGGTTTTTTTGGTTCGTTTTTTTTTTCCTTTATTCCAAATGTACTCAAAAGATGGTGTCACTCATCATTTGTCATAGTTAATGTCATGTGTTCTCTGGCACTGAGGGGGAGATTAGATCTGAATCTCTGTCTTGGGGGAAGTAAGATCAGAATATAGAAGACTAAGAAAAAATTATTGTCAAATAGAAAATAGGTGGACTACAAGGGGGAAAAGGAGAGGCTAGCTTGGGGTAGGCTTTCCTGTAGCTGTGCAGAGAAGGATCATTGGCACAGTGGGAAAAGAGGAAGATTTGATGAGAAGGTGTGGACAGTATGAAAGGTGACATGGAGCTGGGAAGCAGGATGACTGAGAAAAATAGCTGCAGGATCCCTTCTTACATCCCTTTTTGTCTTTGTCCAAGTGTGTAGCGGGAACAGAGAGGAATTACATCTGAATGACCTTTTTAGACCCTGTTCTCATCTACGGTGTGTTTATCTTCAGTTGAGAACATCTCATTGGGCATGTAGGCCATTTCACAGCTGTTTGAAAATAGGTTTCAGAAACTCATTATTCCTGTATATATATTGGCCTTTTTTTTCTAAGGGAGATAATGTGACTGTCGCGGATGAAATATTTGACGTGGTTATGATTTAGCAGCAATTCAAGATTTATTAATGGTCTGAGGTGGATCAAACAGTTGAATTTTAACAGCACTTAATAACTGACCAATTTAAAGATTATCAAGGTAATTTAGTAGAATATGTTATAACTAAAACAGTGACTTAACTACATATTTGAGAATTACAAGATTCACGCTAATTTACTGCAAGGTACCCTAAATCAAAATATACATATGTACATATGTATAAACACAAAACATATACACACACAGATGAAAATATTTGGATTCAGTGAAATATGTAGACACCCACACTCCTGAATGCAAATGTGCATATTCAAGCATGTAGATAGGTAGAGGGGTGGATGGAAGAGGCTAGCCTGTAGTTAAAATTTCCCTCTTCTTGAGTTTAGAGGAAATACTCACAATGCTTCAGCATTCCTCAACATGTGATAATTGAGCCTCAAGAAGTCTGTCTTCGCCCTGGCTTTGTTGGCAGACAATCTTTCAACCTTGAGGAGTCTGTACCCGAGAGGCGTCCCAGCTCAGGGGAGATGCTGGTCACATCCTGCTGCAATCCAGGAGAGCTCAAAGGGTCTTGCTTAGGGTCAGTATTTATAGGGTCTGAGATAATTGACTTTCAGGTACTTTTCCATTTCAGCCCAACTTGGACGTTGAAATACTCTGGTACCTTACACCAGTTGTGCAGGCCCAGAACTTCCTAGATTTTGAAGTTCTGGTATCACCCACTTTGGGCCATGACCCAGGTACAGATGTACTAGGCTGTCAGGAGGTGGTTGATTGTCATTACCATTCCCAAGCAATAGGAGAGGCAGGACCCAGGTGCATTAAGGGGGTGCTCTGGTCCACTGCCTTTCTCAACCCATCTTAGGTTGGCATGTGGCCCAGGGAGGGGGAATCGCACCAAGCACCGAGCGGCCCAGGAGGGTGGGGGAGTTGCACCACCACAGTGGCCCTCATGTTTTCACGGGTCTTACTCTTTGCTGACGTGACATGTTTGTAGGTATGTCTGTTCTGAGCATTGTTATCCTCTTGTCTTAGCTTTGGTTTAATTGCTAGGTTTTGCTACTCAGGAATGCACCATGCAAGTGTTCCCATACATTCACTTTTGGAAAGCCTATGTAGGGATAAAGGCTCATGGCAGCTGTCAAGAGTTCACTAGAGGTCCTGGTGGCAACTCCATGGTGACAGAAAATACACCTTTGTGGTTAGCACAAGGAAAGTGAAATACTTGTCAAGATCAGAGTCCTGTAAAACCATTTCTTGTAACTTGTGTTCTATCTAGGGCAGATAGCATTTCATTAATTGACCCGGTCCTGAGATTGTTTGCTCACTGTTTTACCCAGCTGTAGTTTACTGAGGACTTCAAAAGACAAGGCTAGAAAAAGGCCTTACAAACTTACCTAACTAGTAGATCTCAAGGCATGGTCTGTGACCTACAAGTCATTCAGAAGGCCCACCAACATTTCTCACAATTTTAACAAATTAAACCTAAAAACAGACTGACAAGGAGAGTCTGTAGTTCCTGTGGTGTATTACATCCTCTGTGTTGTTACCCACACACTGTCAATGGCTGTTGAGCACTAATAATTTCTCAGAACCAATAGAAAGGGAAGGTTGAGAGCTAAGGGTCTGTGTCAGAAATTTGATGAGCATAGGAACAGAATCCTGAGCTCTAATTCCAGCTCTGAAATTTAATTTCTTCCTGTGAAAGACATTAACAGTATACCTGTCCTCAGTTTAAACAATATGGATATTTCTGTGTCCTTAAGATATTAGGAGTGACTGAATTTTGTAAATTACTGTCTTAAAGGTACTTATTATATAAGATACACAGATGTTTTGTCTTCACCTGACTGTAATTTTGTTTCAGTAGCCATAGTTAGTATGTTCCATACTCCAATATCCATCTTTGAGCTATCCATTCTGGGCTTTCTTTAGCAGTGTTGCTTTATTACTTACTAAGTATATGTCAATATAAAAATGTGCGCTTTTTTAACCTTATTTACTTTCTCTAACTTTAATGATGTCAAGAAAAAATATTCACAGTACAACAAACTGCAAAAATCAGTTACATCTTGTAGAAGGGAGTCAGTGGAAAAAAAAAATTAATTTGCTCATAAAGAGACCACCAAAGAACTCATAAAAGTGTTGTCAAGCAAATTACTATCAGAAAACATAATGCCCTTTGATCCTTCTTTTTTATCTTTGTTTCATATATCTTAGTCACTTAAGAAAGGAAAGGTATTTTTCAGTTGAGATCCCTCATTTAATGATACGTACTATGCTGATAGCAATGCAAATGTTTCCAGTGTCAATGCACTAGAAAATGTCATATAAACAATACAACAGAAATAAACCCAGGTCTGTTAACAAACAGGGGAGAGAAAATATTGATCTGAAAGTAAGACAGAAAAATTCTATTTCATGCTGTGGTCCATATCGCTGGAGTACTTTAGAGTCTACCTGATTGCTTAAGCTAGATAATATGTAGCTGGCACTGTGCACCATTGGAATTATGAGCTTGAGAGAGCCCCCAGAGGGCTGACTTCTGCAGAAAACATTCTATCTGATTTCTTTTATTTCTTCCTTTTCTTCAGACATACTATAGTTATTGATGTTTTAGATTATAAAGCATATTGAACTACATTCAACATTGGTATAACTGCTGATTTCAAAGCGGTTGAATAGAACAGACAAGGATTGAGCCTATTGATTTTAGTTCAGATGAAAATTGTGTCCTTATTCTCAACTTAATTCATTTATGAAAATTCTTTGCTCAGCTTCTCCCTCTGTTTTCTTGTATACGTGGGAGTGAATTTTTGCCTTCTTTGACTTATTTTATTTTTATATTTTTTTATCTTCTAAAATTAGTTAGGTAATCTGCCATCTTCAAAGATATTTGCCTAGCAGGACTTGCAAACTGATTGCAGTGAAATTAACCCATTTCCATATAGGCAAGATACAGGTTAAATACCATGCCTGAGGCATGGAGAGTACAAATTCTAACAGAGTTCTTCAGTAGCTGCTAGGGGGCATAACATATCATTATAATTCACAGCAGTCCTAAAACTTTTTTTATGCCTTTTCTCTAATTTTGTATTAAACACTGCAACTGGATATAAAATGGATTTCTTATAGAATTACTTTTAAAAGATCTTTACAATTTTCACCTAAGTGAAGCAAAAATTAAATTCTTTTACAAAATGAAACATTCAAATCTTTTAAGGAGTGAATTAATAGATACATTTCTTAAATTTTTTTTGAGCATTTTATGTTGATCAGTTATTTTCATTATGAGTTGCTGTAACCAATTTTTCAAAACAAAAATTAGTTCAATTCAAGAACTAGAAGTTTTCATTCAGAAAATGTCAAAGTGGAACATTGCAAATATTTGAAAAAATGTTTCTAGCATTTCTGAGCAAGAAATTTTTGAAACTGATCTTGTCATGAAGGCAGTTTCCAGTTTAGTTTTTCAGTTTAAAAAGTTGTGTCCAAAAACTCTTTACAATTCACTAGTTGCAGTGCAGATGGCTTTGACACTCAAGGCAAGTATTTTTCCTAGTTTCTTTCTTCAAGTTTCATTTTTCAGCTTACCTAACTATGAACCCAAGTTATCTTTTAAAGTATTTGGTAATTATAATCTTGGATGATGTGAATTGGAAATGTACATTATAATATTTGCTGCTGAGTAATCTATGTGAGGATGATCCTATCAAATCAGAAGTAGTATTTTCAGCTAAAGCTACTGATTATCTCATTTCTGATTACAGCACTGTTAAAAGTTAAAAATCTCTTCACTGCTCCACTTATCTCAAATGCACATACACTACAGACTTGAAAAACAAAGACTGCTATTTATTATTTTCATCCTATTTTTCAGTCTCTGCTTAGAAGTGCAAAATTTAAGAGCCCCTGAGTGTATGATATTTACCTACTTATGCTCTGTTGTACAGGTATATCTGAATGCTGTACAAGACACTGGTATTTCTCTGCAGTCATTTATTAGCCGTGTTACACAATTTGTTCTGCTCCTTTGGTGCCAAGTACTAGTAGCATAAGGGTAGTACTACATGATGTAAAAAATGAGACCACATATATCTAAAATTGTTGCTTACACACTGACTGTTCCACATAATGATGTTTTTTCCATTGGATACTAAAAACAGATTCGGAGAAGGTGGCAACAAATAGCCTTTTTAGTAGTTACAAATATCAAGATGACACTTGGCCTGCAACAGTCAGACATCATAGCCAAAAAAAAAGAGAATGTCTATACATTTAGTTGTAGATTTAATAAACATTCCTATTGCAAGTTCACATCATCAGGCAGGTAATAATAGGAAATGCAAAGTGTTAACAATTTAAGAAAGGATGCTATGCTCAGAAGATTACTTTGAGAAAAAAATGAATTAGTGCAATCTTGTTAAAACCCTTTTTCAGATCGTCCTAGTGGACATTTACTGAGCTGATGTTTTTGAATGCAGCCACTATATACAGTGGAGCTAGTTATTTGAAACTTTGATCTTGGCTCTCCCAGTCTTCCCCTCTGGTGTGCTTTTAGTGTTCCAGTACATCTGCAAACTTTCTGAATTACTATCAATCCTTCTGGTGCTTTGGTGAAAATAAAGCAATTAAAATACAGACTTTGCAAAGTCCTCTCTAAATTATTTGTGCTTTACTTACTCCATGTATAGGTGTGAGATATCTGCATTAAAGTAACAATATCTGCACATAAATCCAAATTCAAGATGGGTATGTAGTCAGGTCACTTCCCTTGAGTGGCTTCCCATGATCTCCTAACTTACCTCTGAGAAAAAAAAATGCTATTTTGTAGACTTTTTAATTGAATGAAATATTATCCAGTTAATAGCTGTTAATGGTCTAATAGCTTCTGCTGATATCTTGGTTCAAACTGGAGGGTAAAGGCAGTGGGGGAAGCAGTTTACAACCAAAATAGAAATTGCAGTTTGATCAAATATTTGTAATAGCAAGTTGATTACAATACCAAAGGCAAAACAGAACCTATTCGTAAGTGCTTTGCTTATGTTTCTCCTGGTAACATCAACCAAATAAACAGGTATTAATGAAGTGCACATTCTAGGAAGAGCTACTGTTTAAATGGTGACATTGGTGAAATTGTAAAAAGGTCCATTCCCTTTTATTTTATCCATTACTTACGACCAAGTTTTACTATTGTTTAATTTGATATTGTATATTCTTGGATTCAAAACTCTTGGCCCATTTTTTTTATCACTAATATAAAATATTCCATGATCTCCCATTGGTTCATTACAAAGATCAATGGGTGCCTTTTTGCCATCTCTTCATTGCTATGGTTTCTCTTCAGATGGTCCCTTTCAGACACTCTTCATACTGAACTTGCTGCACCTACTGACATGTTATTGTATCGTTTGATTTTGTCCTGTCTATGACACTCCTTTCTGCCTCATTTCTTCTTGCTCTTTGGTTTGAGGCTTTAGCACCTCTTCATGGAAGGAATTCCCAGGGCTACTTTGTAGGTCTGTCTTAAAAGTTACACTGGTTTGGGTTTTTTTGTTGTTAAAATGTTGAAACTCAGGGAAGAGGCCAATTCTTCAATTTTTCACAGAGAGTACACTATATTCTTTTCATAATCTAAATATTTTGCCAGTTCTCCCATAGACCTAATGACTAAAACTGGGAAAATGAACTGAGCTGTATTTGGTGCTGTGACCTTTCAGTTCTATCAACAGCAACTGTCTGTGCTATAAGACATTTGTTTTGATCCCAAGACTGCATATCAGACTTATAAATGACTGACGACTACTGCTTCATTTTAAATAACATATATGTTGTGCCTGAATGAGAAAAGGGGTGCGTGGTTTGCACAGGGTAAGTTTCTAGACTGCTCAGCTTATTTTTGTGTAACATACAGTAAGACATGTGGGGTTCATATCATTAAACCAGGAATTACTTACACTACTTCATTGACATCTGGCTCTTACCTTCTACTTATTACACATGCAGTCATGAACCTTTACTGCTACAGGTCAACATTTGTGTTATTTATCATTAAACTTGAGCAATTAACTTATATTCTTGGATTTTAAAAATCCCTGTTGTTGAACACGTTCCCATTTCACTATAAAAACATTCAGAATTCTTTATCTGAACAAAGGTGTAGAAAACAGACACTGAGGTAAAGTCTCGACAAATTCTTTCTCAGTGCAAATAGTTCAGTGTTTTAAATTATATCGTTGTTCTCCATCTTGTCTAAACCAGAACTACAAGTTGTTACACATACCTTAGGTTTCTAAATGTAGTAGCTGTCTGTTCTGTGAGCTGATGACTGTGAGACCATGTCATAAAAAAAAAATTGTTGTTAGTCTTTATGTTCACCAGTTTATCAATCCCAATATCCAAGGGGAGTGAAATTTCTTTCTAACTGCACAAATCATGCATCCTAAAAAGGGAAAAGAAACAGGTCATGGAGAAGACACAATGTTCCTTCCCCTGCTTTGGATGTTATACAGATAATAAATCTTGGCACTGTAAGTCCTTCACCTGCCTCCTTCTGTTTAACCCATTTCAAAACAGCCCTTTACAGTCTCTGGGGTATGAATGCCATTATTTACAAAATTCCAAAGTTGTAGTACTCTTGTATAATCTTATACTAGCAAAACTATTTATTCTATAACCTATGCTTTCCAAATTATTCTCAAAAATGAGATTTTGCTGTTCTGCAGATTTATTGATCATGACATCTCTTTAAAAATCTGGTTATTAAAGCTCTAGTATTTTTGCTTTCCACTGTTTCATCAAGAGAAAGAAATTGGAAATTTTTCTCATTTTAGGCATTTAAGTTTGAAAAGCCAGTAAGATGCAATAAGGTCATGGCTTTAATGATGCGTTCTAGCACTGCTGGATATATCACAGAATAGAAGATTGATTTACCATGTCTCCTTCAGAACATTCAGGTTTCATGACTTTGTTTTATGATAGGACTTAGAAGTCCAAATTAGCTACTGCTTTTTCAGCGGCAGTAGTCAGACAAACAAATTTTTAAGGAAAGCTTTCTAAGGGTTAAAGGGGCAAAATCATACAGAAAAATCCTTACTCAACTTCCTGCCTTTTGTCAGAAGATTCCCAGAGCAGTAGTCCGATGACATATATTTTCAGACGTATGCACACACCTTCAGGGAAGCATATGATTTAATTTATTTTTTTTAATTATGTAGAAATTTTTTAAATGGGGGGTTTTCGGTAGAAAGAAGACCTAGAACACTTTGCTTTTGATAGCTATTTAAGAAGCTGCTAATTTATTCAGAGGTTATGTTCAACATCTGCTAATTGTACTCTTGCACTTGATGATGTCTCTGTTTTGAAGTGAAAGACAAGCTATGAAATTGGTTTTTAATCCCTCCACTCTTCCTGTATCTTATTGGCTAATAAAACCTTGTTTTGTTTTAGTGGAAGCGACAGAACCTAATAAAATAAAAGCTGTATGACAATACCCATTCTAATCCTATAACATCAGGGAGTTACAACTTTCTGAAGTGAGGCTTCTGCCTTTAATGCCTCTCTCTTCTAGATTTGGTTCATATCTGAAGACACAGTGTTACAGGGTAGAGCTCTCTTTTTGTGTTTTCTTTTGTTCTGTCCTTAAAGTTTAAGTAAAACTAATTCAGACAGCACTCAATAGAGGGAGTAACAAATTATTTCCTCCATTTATATATATATATATATATATATATATGTTTATAACTTGGGTTTTTTTTTTTTCAACCGTTCTGATTCCAAAATGACTGGGGTAGAGAATTTAGTTTCCCTGTGGAAGTACTCTGCACTAAGAAGTGCTTTGAAATATTTTTGTGAACGTTGTTTTTCATTTATTGAATTATGACCCACTGAAAACTGACCTGCAGGCATCCACAGTGTATTTGGTAGGGGCTTTAAATAACTTTTGAGTGGCTTCGAGATCAAAGGAAAGCTGTGATTTCCATACAAACTTAATTAGTAAATGTGTAAAAGGGAGTACGAGGAGGCATGCGTTCTTCAAAAGCCCTTAGATACAGAGGAAAACATCAGGTGAAGCAAGCTTTGAGATTCCTCTTATTATGCAGCTCAATCCTGATTTTCTGAAACTGTTGGCCTTTAGCCGTCTGAACAGTGAAATATGTAATTCATTTCAAGTAGGTGTGTAAGCCCATTTAAATAAATCACATGCAAGTGCTTTTCTGGGGCATAATAGCATTAAGTACATTTTAAACACTTTATACAATTGGAGGGTAGTCAGGTATTCTGATATTCTTATGGCATTTCTTTTCATATAGGTCTTAGTGCATGACACCCCTATTGATATCAATTGTTATAAATGGATATTTTAGGTAGATATTTTGCCATCATTAGAATTAAAATCTAAGTGTCATTACATTCCTTCCTCATAGCATGCTCAGTTATATGACAAACATATCAAAGTTCAGTCTCAAAATGTCTGTAAAACAAGAAGATCCATTTGTGGAGGGCAGATAGTTTGGCTTTTGCATTGAAAGTACAATTCCCCATAATCTCGTGGTGTGGCACAAAGGAAAGATTATTATTTGTTATGAAGTAAAGCTGAGTATTTTGCTTTTCTTGGATGTGATGAAATTCAGGAACTTGCATATCCCATCCACTATTTCTCTGTCCACTTCTACAGGATGTGTGAGTTTCTTGGAATATTTTTGCATTCTTGTTTCACTGACAACTACAAATAACCAAACTATTTAAAAAAGACAGCTTTTAAGACAGCTATTGAAGGTTATTTTGAAAAATAAGGTGTTTTAAGTTCAGCAGTATAAACTGTACTGTAGGTCTTCAGTCACTGTGAATGATCTAACTAATGTTTTATCTATTTAAGGGGAGTTTGGAGAAGTGTGCAGTGGACGTCTGAAGACACCGGGAAAAAGAGAAATACCTGTTGCAATTAAAACTCTAAAAGGTGGCTATATGGACAGGCAGAGAAGAGATTTCTTGAGAGAGGCTAGTATCATGGGACAATTTGACCACCCAAATATAATTCGCCTTGAAGGAGTCGTTACAAAAAGTAAGTTACCATTAATACTAATATTGATAGGTTTTTGTTGTTTTTCCCATTCTGTGATATTTAGTAACAAAATTAATCATTACTTCTACATTCAATATGGATTGCAATTCTCAGAAATTTAAATCACAGAGTGACAGTAGATACTACAGAGTTTGGGACCATAATAGGAACTGCACAGCCTATCTATTTTCAATTATAAATGTTTTGCTTTCATTTTTTAATAAGAATCCTCCTCATTCAACTAAAGTCTTTACAGATTCTTGTGAAATAGTGGAATACAGTAGAGAAAGCCATAAATGTAACTGAGTTGACAATGAAGACAAATAATCTTGTAAGGGAGCTGCTATATTCTCCCACAAGCACTCATTATTTATTTTGTTTTACTGATTTTGGTACCAGAAGAGATCAATTTCCTATTTTAAAGAAATAAAATGTAAACTCTTTAAATTTATTGTACACTTTCAGATGATTCACTAAAACTCTGGAATAATCTACGAAATGTCTTACTCTTTATACCTGTTGCAGCTGCCAAGAGAAATCGCTGGTCCTTGAAATATAGCATTTTTAGTGGTGGACTTTTCTGAAATGCAGAAATACCTAGTTATCATTTAAGTATTAAGTAAAAAATTTTATTAACATGCACATAATTTATTTAATGCCAACCTTTTGTAGTACTGAATTGAAAAACTCGTACATTATACTCTTCTCAAAATTAATCATATCCTCAACTAAGCCATGTTGTGCATACAAAACAATGATGTCCTCTTACTATCACAGTAAATGCACTAAATACGTTATGAATATTTCCTGTTTTCACCTTGTTACAATATCAAAAGCTATGTTTGGAAAACACAATGTACTAGACAAAGAGGAAAGTATAGCTTCTGAACTCATGTCACTGGAATGGAATTTCAATAGGTTTATGGTATAACCTTGGTAAAAGCTGTTTCTCTGTGGTTCTAAATTAAGATGAAGAGGAATTTTTTTTTTCTTCACACAGTATTGCAAGGATAAATTCATTATTATTTAGGAATTATTAGTTACTAGACTAAAAGAATCCATTGTGTTGTAGACTTCTGGGAGGATATGGCTTAGTCTCCTCCATTCCTCTCCTGTCAGTAACTGCTCTGCTGACAACGAACATGAACATGAGTTAATACTGGCTGAGCAACATTGGAGATCTTTGTCAAGAGATATAAATAAATATGTAGGAACTTAATTGAATTTAGCTCCTAGCTTCATAATGAGCAGTATAGCAGCTATTAAATTCCACCAGTGACACCAACATGGGCAGTTTATGAATCAGTATCACAGGTATGACTAGGATCCATGCAGTGTATGTCTCATTTCTGAAAAAAGACTAATGTCTGTGATTTATGAACATTGTTTAAATCTAATTAGATGGTGCACACAGAGTACAGTATAATATATTTGGCAATGGCATGATTGTTTAATCTTTGCCACATTTATAAATTTTTTTTCTGTAATGTCTCGTCATCAGTCTAGAGAGAAATGAAGATTGCATTCAGAAAACAGAGAAAAAAACATAAATCAGTGCTCAAACATTAGAGTATTTCTTCCTGTTCTACAGGAAAAATAATTATAGATAACTGTAAGTCAAGAAGTCATCATTAGCTGTTCTGCTTTTCTCTAAGGAGCCAACAAACTTTATTATTGTTTTTGGAATGTTCGCTTAGACGTAATGTAAAAATAGTAGATGATACTGTTATAGTCACACTGTCATCTAAAAATACTCATCTCAGATATAAAATAAATAGTGAAAGTTAGAAAGTAAGTATTTCAGGGTCAGGCAGGTTTAAAAAAATTATACAGCAATAATTATAGAATGAAAAAAATACATGAGTTACCAACAAATAAGGCATGGAAAGTGCAGGTTTTATAAAGTGTAAAGGGCAAAGTTGTGCAGTACTGCTCTGGTGTAGGGAAGAAGCGAGGAGGCATGCTGAGCAACGGACACACGGACACTGCTATGCTTTTCTTTTGCCAGTTTGCCTTTAGGATGTTGCCTTGCATTTGTACTGCCCCATCTGTGGTATTTGGAGAATAACATGACTTCAGCTGAGAGCAGAACAGCTACCTTGCATTTTACTAAATCCTAAATTGAGAATTGCACAAGCCAACACAGGAGAGAACTTTCCTATAACTAAAAGATGTGCTGTAAAAGTCAGACAGAACCTTGTCCTAGCTAAATTATTTATGCAATGATAGTATGATTAAAAGGTGGTTTGTGCTAAAATTTAGATTAATAACAGCAGAAACTATTTATCTGATGTGCATTACAGTTCCACTAACCTATAACGGCACATTGGATGCAGTAAATTTGATTAATAGACGTGTAATGCTGTTCTCTAGCACATGCTTTCCTCTTTGTAACCATTAGTCATTAACTTCCAGAAGCTGCTGATATATATTGCATCAGTTTGTAAGCAGTACCTTCCGTTACAGTGTCATTGACTATTGAACAAAAAAGAAAAAGGATCTGATTGTAATAAGCAGAAGTGCTCTACCAAGTCAATAGCTATTGACTGGGGCAATAACAAATTCGCCTGTTCATTACAAATGAGAGCTTTTATCTGGTGCTACCAGCTAAGCAGATGTTAACTTTTAAATGATACTGTTTTCAAAATTGCTATGGAATATGTACTGTACAGGATGAAAAAAAAAATGCTTAAGTAAGCCTGCTCAAAAGTGTGTCTGAAACGAAGTCTTAATCCCCTTTTCTGATTGCTTCATTTCTCATTTGTCCTAACTGCGATCCCTAATCACAGAGAGCAGTAGGGAGAACAGTTGCTGTAGCACAGGCTTTCTGTTATCGGAGAGTTCATTTCAAGGGCAATTTGCCAGACCAAGGCAAATACAGTGTAGCACAGAATCTGGATCTGAGCATTTGCTTATATTGCTAATCAGAAGTCACAAGAGAAACTTTAATCCTGTTTGGTTTGTTTTAGAAACACCATTGTTTGCTTGGTTTGCCATAAAAGGCTGCTTATTATGAGAAATGCCTAGGCATTTTATAAAGCCATCCATGTTTCCCTGTCAAGTCTTTTAGCGCAGTGATAATTTTGGGACCTCTTCTTGGGTGTGTCAGAGCATGCTCAGCTGAGCTGTATGTTATTGTCTAAGCTATTTCATAAACGGGTCTAAGAAATTTAAAACTTCTTACTCCAGCACAAGCATATGTAACCAACATTGAGATCTGGGCTATAAAGAAGGAAGATGGGTCTTCCACTTCTACATTATGTCGAAGTTTGTGTTACAGAGTTTCCATGAAAATTCCATGAATTAAATTAAAGCTATGCTTACAGCAAACACCTGCCAACATAACTATGTCTATAAGAGACATGAAAATTTGGTGTCTGACAGTTGTGACTGTACTGGAAGAAATCATTGGTGTTACGCGAGCCAAGCTGGAATCTATAGTTAGTTTGGCTTGATGGTATCTTCCACAATAGTTTAAAGTGCAGCCTTGTCAGTACTGTGTAATACTGTGTCAGTACAAATTATCAATGCATGCAGGGGCTTTATTGTAGGCGTAATCTTAGTTTGTTCCTCTCCCCCTCAGACTTTACCCCGAGTAACATTTAATTGTTCAAATTAATTTCTAAAGAATTACTTCCATTTCTGAACTTTGACTACTGGAGGATTTTCACCTGTCACATGTACAGGAGGAATCTTTTTAAGGCATTCATTTTCTTTAACATGTAGATTGTTATTCTCCAGAAGAATTTCCAAATTAATCCCTTCACAAAAAGAGGATGAATAAAGACAGCACCTAGATTTTTGGTGCTGTGTAAGCTCACATCCTCATAATGTTGAGTCTGGGTTTGGAATGACACCTTCAACTGCCTTCTTGTCTCCTCACTGTTTCCCTTTAGTGACTTTCAAATTGTGAATGCTATTGCAGTCCTGAAATCTTTAGTCAGTCATCTAGCAGATTAAATTCAAAGCTTTAATCACTGAGTTTCTTTTCAATTACTGCATATAACCTCTTCAGCGCCAGAAGAGTCCTGAGGTCAGTGTACCTTGCCTTGTCCATGAGAAAGGCAAAGCAGCACCATGATCTGGTTTCACTCTTAATTTGCAGTATGTAGCTCTTCATATCTGACCCATTTTTCATTTTTCAAAAATGCAGGAGATAACAATGATTTTTTTTTTTCAGCCAAGACATTGTATTCTAGATCTTTGAGCCCTTAGTGTAATGAATCTAATGTTGCCCTTTTCTGAAACCTGTTAACAGGTTGAGACTGTTAAATGGAGTTCAGAATTCATTTTGGAAGGTGACATATTTTGCAGTACATGTGTTTATTATACACAGCGTTGTATATTTGGCTGTTATGCAGAAATATTGAGGAAGTTCTGTGACAGTGTTTGTAACAGTTTTACCTTGGTCATGAATGGTGAAATTTTACTCCCAAGAATTATGATTGTGCAAAGTTTAAATGTTGATCTTTTATGAGTTGTGACTATTTGAAGTAGGCTACACCATGATAGTTTACCAAATATGATTGATTATTATTATACACCAAAAAAAAAGTGACCTACATTACAGTATTTATCATTGATTTCTGAAAAGTAAAACCTTTAGGGCCAATAGAAAACATGCGATGTTAATAAATTCCATATTAGCATTATAGTATTCTCTATAACCGACAGTGTAACCCATTTCAGATCTTGATATTTACTTCTGTCAGTAATCTCAGCACATCACTGAGCTATCACTGGCATCTTCAGGCACAGATGTACTTCTTGGAGGCCAAAATGGTTTCAGATCCATCCCTTCAACCCACCCCTTGCACTAGCAGGCAGTTGCCCCTGATTTATGCAACAAAGATGTACAATGAAGACATTATTCATCCCTGAATATCTTCCATTCTGCTTACGGACAATCCATGGTGACAGAGGGGTGGTGAGACTGTATATGTCATATTAGCCAGTGGACTTTACATGACATTAGGCATAAAGCTGAATTTGTCTGATGA